ACACTCACATCCGAGCTCACCTATCACTCTGACCCTCCCTACACACCCACATCCGAGCTCTCCTATCACCCTGACCCTCCCTACACACTCACATCCGAGCTCTCCTATCACTCTGATCCTCCCTACACACTCACATCCGAGCTCACCTATCACTCTGACCTTCCCTACACACTCACATCCGAGCTCACCTATCACTCTGACCTTCCCTACACACTCACATCCGAGCTCACCTATCACTCTGACCCTCCCTACACACTCACATCCGAGCTCACCTAACCCTGTTACAGCCCTTGCCATCGCCGACCACTCACCTGGGCTTCGAGCCACCAGTTGCAATGTTGGGGGCGTGTATAAATCCTCTTGTTGTTGCGTTTCTTTATGCTCGGGTACAGTGCGAATCCTTTTTGGTTGCACCGGTCTTCAAAAATCGCCTGCACCACCTGGAAAACACGTAAAACGAAAAACGATCGTTAAATCACCACCAAATAGATTCTCTGTAGTGAAAGAGCATCACTCCCCGTGACTTACCTTGAGAGTGTCCGTGTATTTCAAGGGCACATAGACGGGTCGGCCATTCTCCAACACCCCTGGGACCTCGACCATTGTCGTCTTCCACTCGGGCGCTTTCGAGCCCCACTTGTCCGCAGCCCACTTTTGCGCATCTTTTATGCTCCGCCAGCCTTGGAGATCCTCGGAGTTGAAGCCCGGGTGGCATACGACCCGCAAAAACCGCTTGCTCTCTTCAACGGTCATGCCCTGCCCTTCACGGAAGCTTTGCATCAGTAACAGCAGCTCTTTTCGTGTGTCAACGATTCCAGGCCCCCAATCGAAGTCAATCGGCTCTTGAGAGGCGTCGGGCTGAAAGGCGATTTGCTCGTGCTCATTCGTTGGCGCATCAAAGTGTGGCGCGGTAGTGTGAGCTTCTTGTGCGGGGCTTGTAGGAACTGCCGGATCGTCAATCCGCCTACGCTTGTGATGATGGCATGCGGGTGGCGGATCCTTGTGAATCTGTCCATCTTCGGTAGCCTTCAACGGGCCGTTCTCGTAGCCCTCGTCACGAAGGCGAGCTTGATGCAGCCTACACTCTACGTTGTTGGTCTGATGAGACTTCAGAGCACGGTGCGTCTGGAAGAGTGCTGCGCACCACGCACACAGAATAAGTGATAACATCACTAAATAACGTGCTCTCGGAGTTGCTGCCATAACAAAGGCAAATCTGAAGCCGTCGACGGCTTCCTATCCCGCAAAATCTGAGAAAGGGACTGCGGAAATGAAGGCGTTGTAAGCCTACGCGGCTTTTATGAGGATCGATCGGCATGTTGTGCAGTAGAAGCGAATAGAGACTACAGAGCGTCAAATCACTAGCGATCGTTCTTCCAAGTGCACGACCCTTGGCGTCTTGGCGGTCGAAATCCTGCTAGTGCGCTTCGCGGCAAATCGTAGCAGATCGTGCCTCATCGGTCGAAACTTGTACCTGTTGTGTGAGGCACGAACTTCGTGTGTTCAAACCTTTGATCTCGCTCCGTTATAAGTTTTACACTGGTTGTTTCAAAAACTCACTAAATAAAAGAGCCAGGAAATCGATAACTCACATCTTTACATTCCATTCCACAACTATTTGCACGAAACAATTCAACTTATCAGAGGTGTTTCCATGTAGTGTCGCAAACCCAATACCCTCGAAAAAAAATCACAGGTGTGCTCGCAATACCCAATACCTTGTCGTCGTCGTCGTTGTCGTCGTCGTCGTCGTTGCCGTCGTAGTCGCCCTTGTCGTCCTTGTCGTTCTTGTCGTCGTCGTTGCCGTCAGTGCCGTTGGTGCTCTTGCTGCTGTTGATGTTGCTGCTGCTGCTGTTGCTGCTGTTGTTGTTATTGTTGTCCTTGTCGTCCTTGTCGTCGTTGCCGTCGTTGTTGTCGGTGTTGTCGTTGGCACAGTTGTTGTTGCTGCTGCTGCTGCTGCTGTTGTTGATGTTGTTGCTGTAGTTGTGGTTGTTGTGGCCGTTGTTGATGTTGTTGTGGATGTTGTTGGTGTTGTTGTGGATGTTATTGTTGTTCTTGCTGTTGCTATTGTTGTCGTTGTCGTCGTCGTCGTCGTTTCCGTCGTAGTTGCCCTTGTCGTCCTTGTCGTTCTTGTCGTCGTCGTTGCCATTCGTGTCGTTGTTGTCGGTGTTGTCGTTGGCACAGTTGTTGTTGCTGCTGCTGCTGCTGCTGTTGTTGATGTTGTTGCTGTAGTTGTGGTTGTTGTGGCCGTTGTTGATGTTGTTGTGGATGTTGTTGGTGTTGTTGTGGATGTTATTGTTGTTCTTGCTGTTGCTATTGTTGTCGTTGTCGTCGTCGTCGTCGTTGCCGTCGTAGTTGCCCTTGTCGTCCTTGTCGTTCTTGTCGTCGTCGTTGCCATTCGTGCCGTTGGTGCTCTTGCTGCTGTTGATGTTGCTGCTGCTGCTGCTGCTGCTGCTGTTGCTGCTGTTGTTGTTATTGTTGTCCTTGTCGTCCTTGTCGTCGTTGCCGTCGTTGTTGTCGGTGTTGTCGTTGGCACAGTTGTTGTTGCTGCTGCTGCTGCTGCTGCTGCTGCTGTTGTTGATGTTGTTGCTGTAGTTGTCCTTGTTGTGGCCGTTGTTGATGTTGTTGTGGATGTTGTTGCTGTTGTTGTGGATGTTATTGTTGTTCTTGCTGTTGCTATTGTTGTCGTTGTCGTCGTCGTCGTCGCCCTTGTCGTCCTTGTCGTCGTCGTTGTCGGTGTTGTCGTTGGTGCAGCTGTTGTTGTTGCTGCTACTGCTGATGCTGTTGCTGGTGGTGCTGCTGCTGGTGCTGCTGCTGTTGTTGATGATGTTGTTGCTGTAGTTATGGTTGGTGTGGTTGTTGTTGATGTTGTTGTAGATGTTGTTGCTGTTGTTGTTGTTGCTGTTGTTGTGGCTGCTATTGTTGTTCTTGCTGTTGCTATTGTTGTCGTTGTCGTCGTCGTCGTCGTCTTCGCCCTTGTCGTCCTTGTCGTCGTCGTTGTCGGTGTTGTCGTTGTTGCAGTTGCTGCTGTTGCTGGTGCTGCTGATGCTGTTGCTGGTGTCAGAACATCATAGCTTACTCATTTCTGTAGGCTATAGTGGGGTATCCCATAGGGGGTACAACCCAATTAGGGTTTCATATTTGTACTCACTTCATTTCATAGTCATTCATTCACGTTCCTTTCTTCACAGCTGGTGCTGCTGCTGCTGGTGCTGCTGTTGGTGCTGCTCCTGTTGTTGCTGATGTTGTTGCTGTAGTTTTGGTTGTTGTGGCTGTTGTTGATGTTGTTGTAGATGTTGTTGCTGTTGTTGTTGCTGTTGTTGTGGCTGTTATTGTTGTTCTTGCTGTTGCTATTGTTGTCGTTGTCGTCGTCGTCGTCGTCGCCCGTGTCGTCCTTGTCGTCGTTGTCGTCATTCTTAAAACGGCTCACAAAAAATATTTTGCATCATTTTTAGCACATATTTTTCGAACATGTACACCATGAAGGAAGCTTACCAACTCTTAGCACCAACTGTGGCTTGTGCAGCTGTGAATGACATAGTTGATAATTGTGGTTTTCCAAATAAATGCAACAAATGTGAATTCATATCCAGTTGCTGTGTACTAGATCAGTTGCTAATTTGTCATTGAATTTATCACCATAAAGCGAGGGTCAGACGTTGATTCCGTAAGTACACCCCACATGACGGTGGAGGTAGTGAGCGACTCCTGCCGTGCACAGCTGGAACATTTGTCGTTATTCATGTTGCGACAAAGTTCGAAAGTGGCGGAATTGAACAGCACATGGCCTGGTTGGGCATGTTGCCATTTCTTCCTCACTGTACACCTGGTCCAATTTTGCCGAAGACAGCAACATCCACGTCGACCCTCACCTCCTATTCGCGGAATCACAAGTTTCCTGGCAACACAACGAATGAGTGACCATCTGGACGCGAACGAACTAGGCACAGTAACCACTTCTTGAGATGTGTGGTTGCGATTAGGGCGGAGTGCATCAAGCGATCCTTGCTATAAGTTTTGTCCGATGTGTAAGGGTATTACTGTACACCTGCTGCACCACAGCCACTTGGTCATGCCGACCAAACAACCCTATACCAGACTGATCCCACAGCTTGCGATCCACTTCAATCAGGCGTTGATGGTGCACCGGGTGCACGTCGATCCTTCTCGCAATTTTTTTTCTGTCGTCCAGCGACGCAGCGAAATGACAACGAGAATAAAACGAACGAATTACAAAGTCAGCCGCGAAAAAACACTGCAGTGGCGACCCCCGACCGCATCCATTGGTGCTTGGGGATCGCGACTGCAAAATTGCACATCCCTTGATACACCCCGCCCTTACACTTCCCCACAGATCATCCTCGTAGCCTCGTAACTGCTCCTTTCCCACCTTGACTAGCTTAGACGGTTACGATTTGTTGTTGCCAACTGATCGTGCGGACCATACATCGTCTTCTTCATTCGAATGTTCAAACTATGGCAATTCAAACACTCAAACAATCGCCTCTTCTGATAGTTAGAGCACGGAGGAGGACTTGGCTTTGTTTCCTCACTTCCCAGCTCCTCCTGAAGCTCTCGCGCCAAACTGTAGTTTACATTTGGCGCCAACACTGGAGGCTTACAAACCAGACGTTTCTCTGAATTGTGATTAGCTCGTATATTGACAAGATGTCGAACCTATTCCATGCCCAGACTTTCTCAACAGATAGCAGTGCTCGTAGCAGGTGGCGTTTTCAGCTGCCTAGGCTCTCAATCACCTGCCAGCAGAACATCAATACACCTGCCAAGCGCCGCCGATCACCTGCCCAACCATGCATTTCACCTGCCCAAATGTAGTGCTCACCTGCCCTTTGGCGCCAATCAACTGCGCTTGTAGGAGCTTCAATCTAATCGCCCAGCTTAACTACTACTTAAGTCACAACTTGCTGGGCATTATTATCATATTCATCCGTCTCCTAGTTCCTATCTTCCTCGGTACGGTCTTCACCACCTCCAGAACTATGGCTACTGTCCTTGCTGTCCGGAGCGAGGTGACAGGCAAGCGCCCCATCAAGCTGACCCCGAAGATGCAGGGAGCTGGGGGTCTTGGTACCCGCTTGAGTGGCGGTGTCAAGAAGCGCAAGGCTGTTGGCGGCCGACTGATCACGAAAGCGCGCAAGGATGGCGCTTCTGAGCACGTCGATGACAACGATGATGTCGACGATGTTGCGGGCAACACCGGCATTGACAACGCCTCTGCTGCCGCAGCTGACCCGTCTAGCGGTGCTGGTGATGCCGCTCCCTTGGGGGTTCAAGTCCATGCTGACGACTTCAGTGATGAGGAGCATGATGAGGAAGAGGAACGCACGAAGCTGCAGACGGAAAAGCAAGGTAAGAGCTCTTGAATTTTTCTTGCCCTGTTCTTTGGAACTTGTGTTGTGCTTGTATTCCAGATCTTCTCTTGTGCTTGTATCCCAGTTTTAACCGTAACGCTCATTTCCTGTGCCGCAGGGGACGGGCGACAGGACACGCTGAACAACATCACCGAGCGTGATGGGGCGTCGCTTCCCTCTCAAAGTCCTGCTGGGAGCCCCCTGGAGGGTGTTGCCGCGGCATCTGACCAGGATGCTAACGGGCGGCTTGCTGAGTTGGAGCGAACCACGCAGCAGCAGTCACAGCTGATTTCGTCGCTTTTGTTGCAACTTAACAACGGGTCCTGCTCCCTGGAGAGGGGTGCGGTGGGTCATGCCTCGGGGTCTCCAAGCACCAATGGAACGCCGCGATCAGCACCAACGTCGCAGCAAGCTCATGTCGCCACACCCGAACGCGAAATGCTGCAGCGCCCGACATCCAACCGTGCTTCCCCTGCTGTGCCGCGGAAGCGGAAGTATCCAACGATGAAGAACAACGGTAACGTGTGCGACGTAGTCCTGCACACGTCACTCAGCGGTATCCCGTTGAGGGACCAGATCCTCATGCGCCAGTTGCCTTCCTATGGCAAGGCATGGAACGTAAGTGCCATATCGAAAGTGTGGAATGGGGGTTGGTGGGTTATGTTTGTGTGGGTTATGGCTAAGGGGCATTGCTGTTTGCTCATCCCCTCTTCACCCTTTCCTCACGCCCCTCCTTTTCTGGCCTTGTTCTGTTTTGAGTCGACTTGTTCTTCTCGCATGCTGATTTGCCACGTTTCCAAGTTTCCAAATCTCCCTATTCTTTTCCGCATTCCCATGTACCAGAAAAAAATGGAGCTTGCTGTGGTTGTGGCGTTCTTTCGCCAACCGGACGACGTTACGAGCGTGTACCCGTCAGAAAGCGTGGTGATGCGGTGCCTCATCGGTGTTTGGGGCGAGAGCAAGGCTGCCGCGCTAGTAGCAGTCATGACGTACTGCGTGGCGCGGGCAGGCGCTTCAACGCGCAAGCAGAGTGATTGGCGTGCGCGGATCTCGATGAATGGGCGCCGGAATTTTGCTGACGCCTATGGGCTAGTTTGCGAAGCGAATCCCCGCCTGAAGTTCGATTACAGCGAGCTGATTTGTGATGAGGAGCGCACACCGACCCAAGTATACAACTTGGAGAGCAAGGGTGGGATACCACTGGTCAAGCCTCTTGGTAAGTGCAGTACGTGAGCATTGGTAACCACAGTTGTTACGCATGGTGCTGTATACGTCTTATGTTCTTGGCATACCCTTGGTTATGCAAGTACCCACCTTTCCATATAACGTATGACTGCAATGTCTGTTTCCATTGTTTATATATCTATGTGCTGAGCAGAAAAGGGAGGGCTTCTTATCTGGCACTTTGCTGAAGGCACGATGCGCCCGTTTGGCACTGCGCTCTTCGACATCATCGTCCGCAACGCATTTCAGAAGGGTGCTGGCGGGTCGGCTACGGTGGTGAAGGCGTACCACATCGCCTATCTGCTGTATCTGGTACGTATGAGTGTGATTTTTTACGTTTGCACGTGTGCGAGCACTTTGTTTCTTGTGTTGAATTGTAGCTGTAAGATTGGTTGCTTGAAGATTGCCTTGCATAGCCAGTTGGTCGCCCCATCTTCCCTCCAACCATCTTCCCTCCGACCCTCCCGCCAACCAATCGCACCATCAAATGGCCCCACCCGCCCCTCCCTGCCGCTTCTTGTCCCTTACCTCTCCCCCTCCCCTCCCCTTTTTCCCATTTCATTTTTTCCTCATCTTTACTGAACCCCAGGTACGGGCAGTCCCCCTTTGAGTTCTCACTGGGCGAGTCAGGAGGGAGCCTGCAGCTCGCAGTGATGAGCGGCACCATCAAATGGCCGCACCCGCCGCTCTCCGCCTCCTCCTTTCCATCCCCTAATCTCCCCTCTTTTCTCCTTCTCCCCATTTTCCCCCCTCCCCCACCCCTACCCTTGCTTCCTGCACTCTTTCCCCGGCCCTTTCTCCCCATTCCCTCCCGCCTTTTTTCTTCTCCTTTCCCGAACCCCAGGTACGGGCAGTCCCGTTTCGAGTTCTCCCTAGGCGAGTCAGGAGGCATGGTGCAGCTCGCAGTGATGGGCGGCACCATTAAATGGCCCCACCCGCCGCTCCCTGCCTCCTCCGCCATCCCTTAATCTCCCCTTTTTCTCCTTCTCCCCTTTTTTCCCCCTCCCCCACCCCAACCCTTGCTTCCTGCACTCTTTCCCCGGCCCTTTCTCCCCTTTGAGTTCTCACTGGGCGAGTCAGGAGGCAGCCTGCAGCTCGCAGTGATGAGCGGCACCATTAAATAACCCCACCCGCCCCTCCCTGCCTCCTCCGCCATCCCCTAATCTCCCCTCTTTCTCCTTCTCCCCATTTTTCCCCCTTCCCTGTTTCCCATGCCACCCTGCCCATTTCCTGCCACACTGGCAGAAGCTTGTAGGGCGTTGATTCCATGCCCAGCGTGTTGCACTCCATACTTCATGCATCAACCGTTCTCCCATGTTGCCCCTCTCCACTCCAACCACCCCTTATGCTGGCAAGAGCATAGAGGGGCTCAGTTTTGTGCCTGTCTTGTTGCTCGGTGCACTTGCACTCTGCCTAATGCTGCCCATCCCTTTCCCTGCTCACCACCCCTCAGGAACGTGGAGTGGAGGTGTCATCGCATGCCTTTTGTGCTCTATCACCTCCCACCTGCCTGCCATGTCCAGTTTGCCTAACCAACACTACCTTTCCCCTTTAATCTGCACTCCCCCGTTGTAACAGGTTGAATATTCCGTGGTGCACCACAAGGCTCGTGGCAAACGCATTCCTACGGATGCGGATGTGAATGCAGCTGACATTGCCTGCTACCACCGCAAGGTGAAGGCGGCCATTCGCAAGACCCTCGAGGAGTCCCCGGATGACCAGCTTCCTGCATGGTCGGAGCAGTATCAGGGGTGGGTGTTTGGACCCACCGAGACTGTGGTGATCTCGGGCAGCGGCTTCCCCGACCTCGTTCCCGATGGGGCTGACCCCGATGCCGCCGAGAAGAAGGCGGTTGCTCTCCTGTTCGAGTATGCCCAGGTGGAGCTCGAGAAAGGCAAGAAGAAGAAGACGGGTTCCAACAACAGTGATGCCACCATGGAGCGTGATCTCCTGGATGATGTGGGTGAGTGGGAGGATGCGGAGGATAGTGTGTAGACGTGGATGATGTGGGCGGCCGAGTTGGTGCCATGCTGGGATCTGTTGTATTATATAGCTTATGTATTATATATAATTGGGAAATGGACAGATGGTTACATTCGGGATACAAACATCTGGGTCACTTTCAGCAAGAAATTGGAGCCCCAAATTTGCACAGATTCCATACAATTGGTCAGGCAAATGTATGTTTTTTTAACAGAAAATGCATGACTACCGGGAGGCAGTTTCATGATGTTGGGACAGCAAATGTAATATAAGTGACATGTAAATGAGGAACATTTACTAACTAAATAGCTAGTCCTTTTCGTATGGAAATGGACCCTACTAAAAAGGTACGACAACTTCTACTTTATAGTAGGCCTAATCACCCCTACTAAATACATACCAAGGAGTATAGAAAAGGTATGTAAAAGGTATGTATAATCAATAGGGATTTTTGAGATGGTAAGCCCTCCCCACCCTGCTGTGTCACCGGTGCATGTTGGTGGTAACTGCACTGGTGCATGTTGGTGGTAACTGCACCGGTGCATGTTGGTGGTAACTGCACCGGTGCGTGTTGGTGGTAACTGCACTGGTGCATGTTGGTGGTAACTGCACCGGTGCATGTTGGTGGTAACTGCACTGGTGCATGTTGGTAACTGCACTGGTGCATATAGTGGTCACCACACCGGTGGTGGTAACCAAACTGGTGTGACTGTTGGTAACCACACTGGTGCGAATGTTGGCAACTGCACTGGTGTGAATGTTGGTAACCGCACTGGCGCATATAGTGGTAAGAGGGGCCCTTGTCTCTACTCTGTGACACGAGTGCCTTGAGGTTCATGCATCCCGTGTGTGCAGGGTAACCCATGTCTGTCATCCCTCTGTTCCCTGCTTGCCTGCCCGCTCCATGCCCCATCAATCCCATGCAGGGTACCCCACGTGGAAGGGGCAGATTCTGGATGGAGAGCAGCTGTGGGCGCTAATAGAGGGCTTGGAGGCCAATGGGCTGCTCTTCTACACGCACCTGCTCACCGGTGGGTTCCAGGTGCATGATCACCTGTAGCTTCGAAACAGCACATCGCACATGGCTATGCAATTTCTCTTACACTTACCATGCCTCTTGTCATGCCATTTCACATGCCCCCTCACATGCCATTCCACATCAGACATGGGCATTTTGACCTGACAGGTTGGGTCGTCGGGTCGGGTCCAGGACAGGCCGACCGGACCCGGTCAAGTCGACTTGCGACCCGTAGATTCATATGTCAACCGGGTCGGGTCAAACCGACCCGTTGACGGGTCGCACTGGACCCGCCTATGATCACCCAATCTTCTACGCACCATCAGATCTGTTTGAGTCCTTGCGCGCACATCAGCAGCCGCGCTTCCCACTACCAGAGAGTAGTGCGCGCCACCCCACAGAGCAGCGCGCGTTACTCCCACCTGCATACAGCGCTCGCTCCCATTATTGAAAATACTAAGCTGAGTGCGCCACGTCAGGCAGCAAAGTGCGCGCCACTCCCAACTGCCAACTCACATGCCCTTTCAAATGCCATACCTCATGCCGTTTTACATACCATGTGACACGCCTTACATATCCCATCCCCCATACCATCCCCCATGCCTTCCCCCATACCATCCCCCATGCCATCCCACTTCAACGCCACACATGCAGGGAAAAGGGGATTTCGTGGCAGCATTGCTGCTTGGATGGTCTCATGTAATCCGTTGCCGCATGGCAAGCATCTCATTGCGTCTCAGTCCTACATTCGAATTCACATGCCATCCCCCATGCCATCCCACATACAGGGAACAGGAGATTTGATGACAGCATTGCTGCTTGGATGGTCACATGTGAGTGGGGCAGTTGCAGCACGGTGCTGCATCTCACAGTGCTGGTTACATTTCACAGTGCTGGTTACATTTCACAGTGCTGGTTACATCTCACAGTGCTGGTTACATCTCACAGTGCTGGTTACATTTCACAGTGCTGGTTACATCTCACAGTGCTGGTTACATCTCACAGTGCTGGTTACATCTCACAGTGCTGGTTACATCTCACAGTGCTGTTTACATCTGACAGTGCTGGTTACATCTCACAGTGCAGTGATGGTTACATCTGACAGTGCTGGTTACATCTCACAGTGCTGGTTACATCTCACAGTGTTACATCTCACGTGCTGGTTACATCTCACAGTGCTGGTTACATCTCACTCTTCTGGTTACATTGACTCAATCTGCTCCTCATTCTCTCAGCTCCTCTCCTTCCATTCTCTCCCTCACACACTTTCCTTTCCCCCCTCTCTCCCTCTTTCCCTCCCTCCTTCCCTCCCTCTCTCCCTCTTTCCCTCCCTACTTCCCTCCCTCTCTCCCTCCTTTCATCAGAAGTATCCTCAAGACTTGGCTAGAGCAGCGGAGCTAGCAGTGGCATCCCTACAGGTGAGCAGCTGCTGTTGCGCCTCGTGCTTGTGTTTGTTGATGCTCTGCTGTGTTTTCAATGTTCGTCTAGCTTTTCTGTTTCAACAGCAGAGCTGGCAGTGGCACTGGGCTGTCCATGGCTTTGAGGCAAGCTATATGAGCAGAGTTGGCATTGGCAACCCGTGGCATTGCAACCTTCCTGACCTGATTGCTGCTCTCCTCCCATTCTTTCTCCCTACAGGCTGTGCTCGCACGAACCTTGCAGCACCGCTCTCCACCTCTGGACGGCACCGAGTCCTCTCCCACTCCCCCCACTCCCAAGCGCCTGGAGCTCTGCCTCGTTCAGAGCCGCGATGACATTATAAGCCCGCCTGTTGTGTTACGTGCACAAGCGGTTGAAAGCGGTGTAGATGGTTTAGATGGATTGCAAGATGGTGAAAGTGCCTTGGTGAGTGGTGACAGTGTAGGGGTGCTGCAGGATAAGGGAGTTGATGCTCAGCTGACAACTGAGAGCTGAGTTGAATGTACTGTAAAAAGAAAACACTCAACTGTTTTTGGCCAGGTGAGGCACTTCCCTGAGCACAATTAACACTAAGAAAAGGACCAGGCGAATTCGAACTCACAAGCTGTTACGCTTCAATATTTCGGAGAGAGGGTTATGCTAGTGGTCCTGTGTTGAATTAACTTGGTAGGTATCATGTTATACTACAAGCAAGTGATTTCCGTACTGAGCTCTCTTGTCAAGCATCATGGAGGACGCAGAGCCGCTGCGCGCGCTCTCCGCCCACATCGCGTAAAAACGGACGCGGGTATCGCCCTTACTTAGATAGTCTCCCTCAGCTTTCCGCTCTATCGCCGCGTTCCTTCCGTCCCTGGTCCCTCCCCGCGCTGCGCGCGCTCTCCGTCCACAGCGCGTGACGCGGACCGTACTTGTCTCCCGCCGAGTAGCCATGGAGGACGCAGAGGCGCGCCGCTCTCGCCTGCGCAGCATGCGCGAGTCCGCGGCGAAGCAGCAGGCGGCGTCCCCCGGCGCGCCCACGCCTTCCGCCGCCCTCTCCGCACTCCCCTCCCCTGACTTCTCTCCGCCGCTTATCCGCACGCATCTGCGTGTGCGCCATCCGGGGAAGGCGGACCTGGGGGAGGTAGATCTGCTAGACGGCCAGCAGGAGCAGCCACCACAGGCTCGGGGAATTTCTCACAGGCCTCATGTAAATATCTTCAAAGCTCTAGCGTGTTTGTCTTAAAGCCCTATCATTCTCAGCTTCCGAGGTACCTGATCTACCCTACTCCCCAGCACCACGAGTGTCAAGTGCTGCCGTTTATGACTCCCAAGTCATCTCTCAAGCATTTCTCGTGTCATGTCGTGCTGGTGCCGCGCCGTGCCGGGTCGCGCCGTGCCGTGCCGGGTCGCGCCGTGCCGTGCCGTGTCGTATCCTGTATGCCGACCGTATGTCGAAAATGTCCATCGGGGAACTACCTTGAGGCAGAAGCAACTCAACGTCTCTCCCTCCCCATGTGTGATGCACCCTCCAACTGCCTGTCTAACTAATATGGGCCCTTCTCCCAGGTTGAATAGAAAAAACCCCTGTTTCTGGCCTCTGTTTCCCTCCCTTGCAACATCCAGACTCAAGCAGACGCCATCACTGCATGTGACATGCTGCGCGCTGCAGGGCCCAGGAAGGTATGCGAGGCTACAGGGGAGGAAGAAGAGTGGGCAGGTAGGTGAGGGGGACTTTCTGGAATCTCAATACTGTTTCGAACAAACGTGTGGCGGTGGATTAGCCTGCTGCTTGATGCTGCGGGTCCCAGAAACGTATTCTGCACGGCTAGGGCCTAGAGGGGACGAAGAACTGTGGGGCAGGAACTTTCGGGAAACTCAAATTTCCTCAAGTGTTTTGAATGTAAGTATGATGGTGAATTGGGATGGTTTTGCATGCTCTAGGGCCCAGAAAGGTATCACATTGAGTGGGGTTCAGGTCATCTAAACCTCATGGGGGTTGGGGCGGTGGCATCTCTACAGGTGAGCAGCTGCTGTTGCGCCTCGTGCTTGTGTTTGTTGATGCTCTGCTGTGTTTTCAATGTTTGTCTAGCTTTTCTGTTTCAACAGCAGAGCTGGCAGTGGCACTGGGCTGTCCATGGCTTTGAGGCAAGCTATATCAGCAGAGTTGGCATTGGCAACCCGTGGCATTGCAACCTTCCTGACCTGATTGCTCCTCTCCTCCCATTCTTTCTCCCTACAGGCTGTGCTCGCACGAACCTTGCAGCACCGCTCTCCACCTCTGGACGGCACCGAGTCCTCTCCCACTCCCCCCACTCCCAAGCGCCTGGAGCTCTGCCTCGTTCAGAGCCGTGATGACTATATAAGCCCGCCTGTTGTGTTACGTGCACAAGCGGTTGAAAGCGGTGTAGATGGTTTGGATGGATTGCAAGATGGTGAAAGTGCCTTGGTGAGCAGTGACAGTGTAGGGGTGCTGCAGGATAAGGGAGTTGATGCTCAGCTGACAACTGAGAGCTGAGTTGAATGTACTGTAAAAAGAGAACGCTCAACTGATTTTGGCCGGGTGAGGCACTTTCCTGAGCACAATTAACACCAAGAAAAGGACCAGGCGGGAATCGAACCCACAAGGTGTTGCTTAATGGTATTTTGAAAGAGAAAGTTATGCTACTGGTCCTGTGTTGTATTGAATTTGTTGTGTAAAAGTCTATTTGACGACGAAGTGATTTTCAAGGTTGGCCGTACCGAGCTCTCTTGTCAAGCATCATGGAGGACGCAGAGCCACTGCGCGCGCTCTCCGCCCACATCGCGTAAAAACGGACCAGGCGGGTATCGCCCTTACTTAGATAGTTTCCCTCAGCTTTCCGCTCTATCGCCGCGTTCCTTCCGTCCCTAGTCCCTCCCCGCGCTGCGCGCGCTCTCCGTCCACAGCGCGTGACGCGGACCGTACTTGTCTCCCGCCGAGTAGCCATGGAGGACGCAGAGGCGCGCCGCTCTCGCCTGCGCAGCATGCGCGAGTCCGCGGCGAAGCAGCAGGCGGCGTCCCCCAGCGCGCCCACGCCTTCCGCCGCCCTCTCCGCACTCCCCTCCCCCGACTTCTCTCCGCCGCTTATCCGTACGCATCCGCGCGTGCGCCATCCGGGGAAGGCGGACCTGGGGGAGGTAGATCTGCTAGACGGCCAGCAGGAGCAGCCACCACAGGCTCGGGGAATTTCTCACAGGCCTCATGTAAATATCTTCAGAGCTCTAGCGTGTTGGTCTTAAAGCCCTATCATTCTCAGCTTCCGAGGTACCTGATCTACCCTACTCCCCAGCACCACGAGTGTCAAGTGCTGCCGTTTATGACTCCCAAGTCATCTCTCCAGCATTTCTCCCAAGTCATTTCTCCAGCATTTCCCTCGCAGCATCCGGACTCAAGCAGACGCCATCAGTGCATGTGACATGCTGCGCGCTGCAGGGCCCAGGAAGGTATGCGAGGCTACAGGGGAGGAAGAACAGTGGGTAGGTAGGTGAGTGGTGCAGCAGAGCAGGTGAGTGGTGCAGCAGAGCAGGTGAGTGGTGCGGCAGAGCAGGTGAGTGGTGCAGCAGAGCAGGTGAGTGGTGCGGCAGAGCAGGTGAGTGGTGCAGCAGAGCAGGTGAGTGGTGCAGCAGAGCAGGTGAGTGGTGCAGCAGAGCAGGTGAGTGGTGCAGCAGAGCAGGTGAGTGGTGCAGCAGAGCAGGTGAGTGGTGCAGCAGAGCAGGTGAGTGGTGCAGCAGAGCAGGTGAGTGGTGCAGCAGAGCAGGTGAGTGGTGCAGCAGAGCAGGTGAGTGGTGCAGCAGAGCAGGTGAGTGGTGCAGCAGAGCAGGTGAGTGGTGCAGCAGAGCAGGTGAGTGGTGCAGCAGAGCAGGTGAGTGGTGCAGCAGAGCAGGTGAGTGGTGCAGCAGAGCAGGTGAGTGGTGCAGCAGAGCAGGTGAGTGGTGCAGCAGAGCAGGTGAGTGGTGCAGCAGAGCAGGTGAGTAGTGCAGCAGAGCAGGTGAGTGGTGCAGCAGAGCAGGTGAGTGGTGCAGCAGAGCAGGGCACGGGGTGTGTAGGTGCTGGACTCGCTGCTGATAGCCTTGTGCTGGTGGTGGGGCGTGACGCCAGTAGCCCTGCTGTAGAGCAGATGGGTGAGGTGACAGGGCAATGGGCGTGCCAGTGTAGTGGTCGAGGTGTGCTTTGAGTCGAATCACTCGCATGTGGTTGGATATGCTGCTGCTGCTGATGCTGGTGCTGGTGCTGGTGGTGGGGAGTGACGCCAGCAGCTGTGCAGCAGGGGAAGTGAGTGAGGTTACAGGTCATGAGGGTGTTGGTCTGGTGTTGAGGTGTGGTCTGAGATGACTCCTGAACATGCTGCTTGTGCTGCTGGTGGGTAGTGATGCCAGTAGCCCTGCTGCAGAGGAGGTGTGTGAGAGGGCATGGGGGTGTTGGTCTAGTGCTTGATTTGATGTGTGGTGTGAGGATGGGGCAGGTTTCACACAACAGGTCGGCGCATGAGGCATGCCGTGTCGGTGAGTATTAGAAGGTCAGCAATGGGCCCTTGTTTTGACCTTGGAAAGCAGGTCTCATCACTTCACCCCCCTGCCCTTGTCACTTCACCCGCCTGCCCTTGTCACTTCACCCGCCTGCCCTTGTCACTTCACCCGCCTGCCCTTGTCACTTCACCCCCCTGTGCTGGTCACTTATCCTGCCTACCTGCAGTGAACTTGTGCCACTTTTCTTCTTTGTCCCCCTCTTTCATTCAATTCTCACTCTCCCTTCAATTTCTGTCACTCGTTATCCCCTACGTTTGCACCTGCCCTGCCCACCCCTACATACACCACCCCTTACATACACTGCCCTGGCTCCCACTCTGGTCAACATCTTGACATACGTATTTCAGGAGGAGGGCCCCGGACCACCTGGATCATCTGGATCACATTCCTTGCAACGCTTCTGCTTTGCAGTGCCCAAGATATCCGAGTACTTCACTGTATGGCACTCCTTCTCACACTCTCCTTCTCACACCCTCCTTCTCTCACTCTCCTTCTCACACTCTCCTTCAGTGTGCAAATCAAAACAAGCAGCGCATATCGTCTCTCTCATCCCCCCTTGCTCTCCCTTCTGCCCTCCTCTCCCTTCCCCCCTTACTCCCCTCCACCTCCCTCAGGCGGCAAGGCGACAACATGAGCGTAATCGGAAGGGTGATGGCAGAAAGCTTGTTTGTGATTGATTAATAAGCAGAGATGGGGTACAAGAGAGGGGGAAACCCCCCTAAAATCCTGAAAAAACCCCCCCACAGCCCCCCCAAGGCCCCCCTAAGGCCCCCCTACCCCCCAATTCTCCTCACAGCCCCTCACAGCCCCCCTCGAACCGCCCTGGAAATCCCTGGGCATGGCCCATGCATATCTGCTCCCTGTCATATCACATTCCTGCTTCTGCTTCTTCTTTGTGCTTCCTATCTATCATATCCCTCCCGGGCATGGCATGGCATGGCATGATATGGCCAACCAGGGAGGGGCGCACAGCACAGAGAGCCAGGAGCTCATCCACCACTCCCTCTTCTGTTCTGCTTCTGCTCCCCACTCCCCTCCCTTTTCCCTCACCCCTCCCCGCTTTCTCTGCCCGCCTGCGTATATAATAACAAGCACATACATTCACATTCGCTATGTCATCAAATCTATAAGTCATCTATCACTCTACGCGTCGTAGCAAATAGCCTCATGTTGTCGACAGGAGAAAATGGCACATGCGCTCCCTTGTGCATCTGTTTCTCTCTCTTCTTCTCCCTCATGTCCTGCCCTGCGCATGGCTGAACACAAGCAGGTGGCAACACATCTACTCCCTGTTTCCGTTTCTGCCACTCTTTGATATCCCAAACCTGGCCCAAACCAAACCTGCACTTCCCCCCCCCCCCCCTCCCCCTGCATGTATAACAACAGGCACATACATTTATGTTCTTAACGTGATCAGATTCATCCCTCCTACCACTCTGCACATCGCAAGCCGAGTGTCTTCATCTTGGCGACAGGAGGGAAGCTGGCACCTGCGCAAGGGGAGGGGGGGAGTTGGAGTGGGGGAGAGGGGGAGCGGAGCAAGTGAGCGGTGGGAGCAGGGCAAGTGAGGGGATGGCAGGAGGTGTGAGGGCATGGTGGGATGGCAGGTGTGAGGGATATGGCAAGGTGTGCAGTGCATGCTCTGAGGCGACTCACAACGCACATGCGGCTGGTTTGGTGGGGCATGCAGTACGGCATGGCGCTGCGCTCCCTCCTCCTGCTTCTGTTTCTCTCCCTTGTTCTCTCTCATGTCCCGCGCATGGATGATGAGGGACGGCCACACAAGCAGCTGGCAACGCATCTGCTCCCTGTGCAAAGTATCTTCATCTTGGCGACAGGAGAAACTGGCACCTGCGCAAGGGAAGGGGAGGAGTCGGGGTGGGGGAGCAGAGCAAGTGAGCGGGGGGAGCAGGGCAAGTGAGCGGGGGGAGCACCCTAAACCCCCTTACCCCCTTACCTGGCAGGAAATGAAATTCACCATGCAAGGAATGCAAATCCACCTGCCAGGGCATCAACAGGCACCATGCAGGGCATGAGAAGGCACCGTGCAACATGCGAAGGCACCTTGCAGGGCATGAGAAGGCACCTGGCAGAAGGGGGAAAGTGGGGAAAGAGGGGAGGGGGTGGGTGAGACAAGCTCAAATGGGCAGGCGCTGCAGTGGCAGCTGGCAGAAAGGGGAGGGGAGAGGGTGGCTTGGACGTCTCACAGTTCCCCATGCCCCCTTACACCCCCCCCTTGAGAAAGAATGCACACAGGAACAACAAACAAGCAAGCAAAACAAACTGAAACAAACAAACAAACAAACAAACAGGAAATATTGGGATGGAAAGAGGGGACGGGGTGAGTGAGACCTCTTCAATCAACATGCGCTACACTGGCACCTGCTGGAAACGGGAGGACAGAGGGGAGGTGTTGAGTGTGACACCTCAAAACATTATGCCTTGCACTGGCACCTGCTGGAAAGGGGAGGAAAATGGCATCATGCAAGGAATGAGAAGGCATCATGCAGGGAACGGCAAGGCACCTTGAGGGAATGAGAAGGCATATGATTTTTATGTGCCCTAGTACATTGTTTTGCTTTTGTGTTCATACAGTCATGCATCTTTCTGGCACCTGCACAAGGGGAGGGGAGGAGTTGGGGTGGGGGAGCAGAGCAAGTGAGCGGGGGGAGCAGGGCAAGTGAGCGGGGGGAGCACCCTAAACCCCCTGACCCTCTTACCTGGCAGGAAATGAGAAGGCACCATGAGGGAATGCGAATGCACCTGGCAGGGCATGCCAAGGCACCATGCAGGGCATGAGAATTTACCGGGCAGGGCATGAGAAGGCACCATGCAGGGCATGGGAAGGCACCTGGCAGAAGGGGGGAAGTGGGGAAAGAGGGGAGGGGGTGGGTGAGACATGCTCAAATAGGCAAGCGCTGCACTGGTACCTGGCAGAAAGGGGAGGGGAGAGGGTGGCCTGGATGTCTCAACGTTCCCCATGCCCCCTTACCGCCCCTTAAGCAAAGAATGCACACATGAACAAGAACAAGCAAGCAATCAAACTAAAACAAACAAACTGGAAATATGGGGAGGAAGGAGAGGAGGGGATGAGTGACACATCTCAAAACATTATGCGCCCTGCACTGCCACCTTCTGGAAAGGGGAGGACAGAGGGGAGGGGGTGAGTGAGACACCTCGAAACATTATGCCCTGCACTCCCACCTGCTGGAAAGGGGAGGTATGAGACGAGGGGGTGAGTGACACACCTCAGCATGCGCAGCACTGGCACCTGCTGGAAAGGGGAGGACAGAGAGGAGGAGGTGTGTGACACACCGCAAAACAACATGCGCAGCACTGGCACCTGCTGGAAAGGGGAGGACAGAGAGGAGGAGGTGTGTGACACACCGCAAAACAACATGCGCAGCACTGGCACCTGCTGGAAAGGGGAGGACAGAGAGGAGGAGGTGTGTGACACACCGCAAAACAACATGCGCAGCACTGGCACCTGCTGGAAAGGGGAGGACAGAGGGGAGGGGGTGAGTGAAACACCTCACAAAATTATGCCCTGCACCCCCACTCCGTGCTGCACCATCCGTCACACCACGCGCTGCTCTGGCAGCTGCTGAAACAGGGGGAGGGAGGGAAGGGGAGGGGAGTTGAGGGGGTGGGTTACATGACTAAAAACAAAGGAGAGAGAGGAGGGGATGGGTCACATGAATCAAAACAGAGGGGAGAGACAAGGGGATGGGTAACATGTCTCAAGAAGGGTTGAGGGTATCATATGAATGATACTATGTTTAGTTCTTGTATGTTCTTGTTTCTGTTCTTAGTTCTTGTTCTGGTTGTTTCTTTAGTCGTTGTTTCCGTTCTTCTCTCACCATGGGGCGGCGAGGCGAGGAGGCGAGGTGCTCGACAGCGGCGCGTGGAGGGCTGAGCCGCCCGCGTGGAGGGCTGAGCTGCCCGCGTGGAGGGCTGAGCCGCCCGCGTGGAGGGCTGAGCCGCCCGCGTGGAGGGCTGAGCCGCCCGCGTGGAGGGCTGAGCCGGCGTCCATGGGGTGGCCGACCCACCCCATACGCCATCAACACCACGTGCTGCAGTGGCTCATGCTGGAAGGGGTAGCCTGGTTGTAGGGTTTCGGGTTCAGAGTAAGAGGAGGGGGGAGAGAGAATGGGCAGGGTAAGTTCGGTGGGGAAATGAATGGGGCAAGTAATAATAATATGGGAAAACAGAATTTGATGTTTCTTTCCTTTCAATTGAAAAATTCCACTCCTTTCATCGTCTCAAGGCACCTAGCAGGGGATGACGAAGCATCAGGCAGGATATAAGTGGTTTGGGGAAAGGGCGAATTGTTTTCCCAATAATATCTATATTGGATCTTATTGTTTTTTATATACATGCTTCTTTTTTTTTGTCATGCTCTCATGTTTCAGTTGTGTTTAGTCTTTTTCTTGTACCTGGCGACGCGTTGTGATTTGAGCGCCTGGAGGCGCATGGAGGCTGCACTGGCACCGGCTCTGCTGTCCGCCAGAGCCGCGCCATGCGCCTCTGCTGTCCGCCACGGCCGCGCCATGCGCCGCCAGAGCGCCATGAGCAGCGGCGTCATTGTCGTTGGCGTGTCAGCGGCATGGCAATCGGCGTGACAGCAGTGTGGCATCGGTGCCCCGAAGCGGAACTAATCGGAAATCGCCATGTTTGGTGGCAGATTTTGGATGTGGAATGCCGCATTGCTGCTGGCTCCTGGAACGGCAGATGACGAGCTTGTGCTGGCTGCAGCGTGCCTGCCATGACCATGCACACGTCAGCAGGAACAAGGACAAGCAGAAATCGGAACAAACGGAGCTAAGAAGAGGGAATCTACAAAGAAAACGAAATTACGGGAAACAAGACTGAAGATAGCGTGAGTAAGAAAGCGGGCTTACGAAATACTAATGCCATGGCCCATGGCGGACGGCGATCCAAAAGAGAGGCTGCGCTCTTGAGTAGAATGGCTTGAGATTGAAACGAGATCTGAAAAACGAAACTACGATAGCGTGACTCCAACTAAGAAAGAAGGCTTACGAAATGGTGATGCCATGCCCCATGGCGGAGGGCGATCTAGAAGAGAGGCTCGGATGTTGAGTTGAGATAGAGTGGCGGATGATAAGAATCGAGGTCTGAAAAACGAGAGTGGGAGTTAGGTGAGCGATTGTGAGCCCAGCCCACTCACATCACGTTTCGTGCACTTTCTGGCTTGCTTGGTCCCCCTGAACGAACGTGGGTTCGTGGTGCAAAGTGGATGTACTGAAGTAGCGTTCTGCACAGTGCTACGTCGGCAGCGCAGTGACAAAGTCGGAAAGTCGGTTTGGGTGCCCTGCGTATATGCAGTCCGACACTCCGATACAGCGAGCGCGACCCAAAGTGAATGTGCCAGCATTTACAGTGACAAATTCGCAGCGCGAATAGGTTTCGCTCGTCAGCTGTGCCCAAAACGAGAACAGCAAAACAGTATCTTGCAAAACTACAGCTTTCCACATGGCAGTAAACAGAACCGATTTTGCTGATTTACAAGCTACACATGTAAGTTGACAAATATGTTTGTGTAATCTGGAGCTTATGCATGTAGGTCAACAAATCAATGATAAATTAGCTCTGGAATAATGAGCTGAATATTAAGGAGCGTGCGCATCTGCATGCGTATATGCATGAATACTCGCATGTCTGGTACCTACCTATTTAACCTAGACGCGCGTAGACATACGTATGCATGCGTACGTATGCCTTCATGCACGTAGTGCGTCTACCTACCGTACACACTCGTACGCGACGCATATGTACATAACTGTACATGCACCAACGCGTACGCACTCGTACGACCGACCTTTTTCTTTGCCCGCGCAAAGAGAGCCGTTGATGTCATCTCGCCGGGGACAATCGCTCTTGCTCGACTGATCGTCAAGTGTGACCGATTTTTGCCATTCTGCGCCGTGGTTACGCCAACAAATCGATCGGTTGGATGCTGAGCGAGACAAGCTTCACTTCCACCATTGGGTTGGGATAGAAAGAGAGAGACACGAAGGGCAGCGAGCCACATAGAGGGAGTGATGGAGGTGCAAGGAAGAGAAGGGGGGTTGAGCCTCCGTTGTTAAGGAGGTTTAGGGGGTGCAGGAATGCCCGAGATAACCACAACAAGGAAAGGGTGAATGCTAATAAGACGATCAAAGTCGTTGTATAGTGGACCTATTTTAGGCCAAAATAACGACTTTGATTGTGCTTTGTAACCTGATTACAGGCCAGACAGTAACTTTTGTTCTCCCTGAGTCCCAAAGATAAATTTGCAACACACCTGAAACGCTAGCGAATGCTAGGCATCATTTTATGCCTTTGTGTTGAATGGCGAAATGGGTACAGTTCTGTATCGAGGCGCAATTGCAGCTCTTGGCGGGGATGTTATACTGTTCCCGTCGTTGTGAAGTTGCAGCGAGCGAGTGACTCGGCTGTAACCTTCGGTGTAGGTTGCAACGAGCGATTGACGCAGCGCGCTTGCGATAGTTGCGATATCGCGCTGTCGCACGCACCAAGTTCTTCACCCCCCCTTCCCACCCCCCAACGCAGAGTTTGTCGCTTCTCTAATCCCCATCCCATCACATCCCACCTAACACCCCCTTGACTGTTTAGTACAGCACCTACCAGATGGAACACCACCCATTCCAACCGCTTCGAACCCTTGCTAATCGAGTCAAGCTGAAACCTAGCAGAAGAAATCGAACACTCCCCCTTGGGAGTGGGACTCTAATTAGCTGTTCGTTCGGATTGTATTAAGCTGTTGGTCGTAATTAGCTGTTTGTTTAGATTCAGATGGTGACGCTTCTAGTTAGAATGCGTGGGCAGAGATAAGGCTCCTCCTCGCTATCCCCGCACACCCTGACCTGACTAGCCTAGCAGTGCAGCGTCGGATAGGTATCTCGCACATCGTTCCAGCTGTCACGAGTCGCTCTTATCACCTTAGCGCGGTGCAATCGGGCCCGTGTAACCCTAGGCGTGACGTGATCGTGCAATGGGGCGTGTGTGCGGCAACCGCATCAACGCCATGGCGCAAAGCAACAGCAACAGCCTGCTGTAAGTCGCTCACGGGCCCACGCGCCCGTGCGCCCTGCTTTACGTGCGCCCACGCGCTCCTGCGCCGTGCGTTCCGTGTGCCCACACGCACGTGTGCCGTCCTTTCTGTGCGCTCACGCGCTCCTGCACCCTGCTTTCCGTGCGCCCACGCGATCCTGCGCTTTGCTTTCCGTGCGCCCACGCGCCCGTGCACCGTGCTTTCCATGCGCTCACGCGCACTTGCGCCGTGCTTGCGTGCGCTCACGTGCTCGTGCACTCAGGCGCGCCGCTCTCGCCTGCGTGGCATGCGCGAGTCCGCGGCGAAGCAGCAGGCGGCGTCCCCCGGCGCGCCCACGCCTTCCGCCGCCCTCTCCGCACTCCCCTCCCCCGACTTCTCCCCCACCGCTTATGCGTGAATGCACCAGGGGTATGTGGGCAACAAGGCGGCGGTCTTCCCCCTGCAACTGCTGGGCTTCGATGTGGACCCAATCAACTCCGTGCAGCTCTCCAACCACACTGGTGCGATGCTGTTGGTTGGTTACCTGGTAACCATATTGGTGAGAATGGTAAGCCCTCCCCACGTTGCTGGGCTTCGATGTGCCCCCCCTCAACTCCGTGCAGCTCTCCAACCGCACTGGCGAGAATGTTGGTAACTGCGTTGGTGTGCATAGTGGTAACCACATGGGTGCTTCATGGTAACCGCACATTGGCGAGAGTGGTAACCACTCCCCACCCTGCAGCTGCTGGGCTTTGATGTGGCCCCCCTCAACTCCGTGCAGCTCTCCAACCACACTGGTACGATGCTGTTGGTTACTTGGTAACTGAACTGGCGCAATGGTGTTGGGTACCTAATAACCACACTAGTGCAATGCTGCTAGTTACCTGGTAACCACACTGGTGAGAGTGGTAAGCCCTCCCCACCCTGCTGTGTCACCGGTGCATGTTGGTGGTAACTGCACCGGTGCATGTTGGTAACTCCACTGGTGCATGTTGGTAACTGCACCGGTGCATGTTGGTGGTAACTGCACCGGTGCATGTTGGTGGTAACTGCACCGGTGCATGTTGGTGGTAACTGCACCGGTGCATGTTGGTGGTAACTGCACTGGTGCATGTTGGTAACTGCACTGGTGCATGTTGTTAACTGCACTGGTGCATATAGTGGTCACCACACCGGTGGTGGTAACCACACTGGTGTGACTGTTGGTAACCACACTGGTGCGAATGTTGGCAACTGCACTGGTGTGAATGTTGGTAACCACACTGGCGCATATAGTGGTAAGAGGGGCCCTTGTCTCTACTCTGTGACACGAGCGCCTTGAGGTTCATGCATCCCGTGTGTGCAGGGTAACCCATGTCTGTCATCCCTCTGTTCCCTGCTTGCCTGCCCGCTCCATGCCCCATCAATCCCATGCAGGGTACCCCACGTGGAAGGGGCAGATTCTGGATGGAGAGCAGCTGGGGGCGCTGATAGAGGGCGTGGAGGCCAATGGGCTGCTCTTCTACACGCACCTGCTCACCGGTGGGTTCCAGATGCATGATCACCTGTAGCTTCGAAACAGCACATCGCACATGGCTATGCAATTTCTCTTACACTTACCATGCCTCTTGTCATGCCATTTCACATGCCCCCTCACATGCCATTCCACATCAGACATGGGCATTTTGACCTGACAGGTTGGGTCGTCGGGTCGGGTCCAGGACAGGCCGACCGGACCCGGTCAAGTCGACTTGCGACCCGTAGATTCATATGTCAATCGGGTCGGGTCAAACCGATCCGTTGACGGGTTGCACTGGACCCGCCTATGATCGCCCAATCTTCTACGCACCATCAGATCTGTTTGAGTCCTTGCGCGCACATCAGCAGCCGCGCTTCCCACTACCGGAGAGTAGTGCGCGCCACCCCAGAGAGCAGCGCGCGTTACTCCCACCTGCATACAGCGCTCGCTCCCATTATTGAAAATACTAAGCTGAGTGCGCCACGTCAGGCAGCAAAGTGCGCGCCACTCCCAACTGCCAACTCACATGCCCTTTCAAATGCCATACCTCATGCCGTTTTACATACCATGTGACACGCCTTACATATCCCATCCCCCATACCATCCCCCATGCCTTCCCCCATACCATCCCCCATGCCATCCCACTTCAACGCCACACATGCAGGGAAAAGGGGATTTAGTGACAGCATTGCTGCTTGGATGGTCTCATGTAATCCGTTGCCGCATGGCAAGCATCTCATTGCGTCTCAGTCCTACATTCGAACCCACATGCCATCCCCCATGCCATCCCATATGCAGGGAACAGGAGATTTGATGACAGCATTGCTGCTTGGATGGTCACATGTGAGTGGGGCAGTTGCAGCACGGTGCTGCATCTCACAGTGCTGGTTACATCTCACAGTGCTGGTTACATCTCACAGTGCTGGTTACATCTCATAGTGCTGGTTACATCTCACAGTGCTGGTTACATCTCACAGTGCTGGTTACATCTCACAGTGCTGGTTACATCTCACAGTGCTGGTTACATCTCACAGTGTTACATCTCACAGTGCTGGTTACATCTCACAGTGCTGGTTACATCTCACTCTTCTGGTTACATTGACTCAATCTGCTCCTCATTCTCTCAGCTCCTCTCCTTCCATTCTCTCCCTCACACACTTTCCTTTCCCCCCTCTCTCCCTCTTTCCCTCCCTCCTTCCCTCCCTCTCTCCCTCTTTCCCTCCCTCCTTCCCTACATTGACTCAATCTGCTCCTCATTCTCTCAGCTCCTCTCCTTCCATTCTCTGCCTCACACACTTTCCTTTCCCCCCTCTCTCCCTCTTTCCCTCCCTCCTTACCTCCCTCTCTCCCTCTTTCCCTCCCTCCTTCCCTCCCTCTCTCCCTCTTTCCCTCCCTCCTTCCCTCCCTCTCTCCCTCCTTTCATCAGAAGTATCCTCACGACTTGGCTAGAGCAGCGGATCTAGCAGTGGCATCTCTACAGGTGAGCAGCTGCTGTTGCGCCTCGTGCTTGTGTTTGTTGATGCTCTGCTGTGTTTTCAATGTTTGTCTAGCTTTTCTGTTTCAACAGCAGAGCTGGCAGTGGCACTGGGCTGTCCATGGCTTTGAGGCAAGCTATATCAGCAGAGTTGGCATTGGCAACCCATGGCATTGCAACCTTCCTGACCTGATTGCTCCTCTCCTCCCATTCTGTCTCCCTACAGGCTGTGCTCGCACGAACCTTGCAGCACCGCTCTCCACCTCTGGACGGCACCGAGTCCTCTCCCACTCCCCCCACTCCCAAGCGCCTGGAGCTCTGCCTCGTTCAGAGCCGTGATTACTATATAAGCCCGCCTGTTGTGTTACGTGCACAAGCGGTTGAAAGCGGTGTAGATGGTTTGGATGGATTGCAAGATGGTGAAAGTGCCTTGGTGAGCAGTGACAGTGTAGGGGTGCTGCAGGATAAGGGAGTTGATGCTCAGCTGACAACTGAGAGCTGAGTTGAATGTACTGTAAAAAGAGAACGCTCAACTGATTTTGGCCGGGTGAGGCACTTTCCTGAGCACAATTAACACCAAGAAAAGGACCAGGCGGGAATCGAACCCACAAGGTGTTGCTAATAGTATTTTGAAAGAGAAAGTTATGCTACTGGTCCTGTGTTGTATTGAATTTGTTGTGTAAAAGTCTATTTGACGACAAAGTGATTTTCAAGGTTGGCCGTACCGAGCTCTCTTGTCAAGCATCATGGAGGACGCAGAGCCACTGCGCGCGCTCTCCGCCCACATCGCGTAAAAACGGACCAGGCGGGTATCGCCCTTACTTAGATAGTTTCCCTCAGCTTTCCGCTCTATCGCCGCGTTCCTTCCGTCCCTAGTCCCTCCCCGCGCTGCGCGCGCTCTCCGTCCACAGCGCGTGACGCGGACCGTACTTGTCTCCCGCCGAGTAGCCATGGAGGACGCAGAGGCGCGCCGCTCTCGCCTGCGCAGCATGCGCGAGTCCGCGGCGAAGCAGCAGGCGGCGTCCCCCAGCGCGCCCACGCCTTCCGCCGCCCTCTCCGCACTCCCCTCCCCCGACTTCTCTCCGCCGCTTATCCGTACGCATCCGCGCGTGCGCCATCCGGGGAAGGCGGACCTGGGGGAGGTAGATCTGCTAGACGGCCAGCAGGAGCAGCCACCACAGGCTCGGGGAATTTCTCACAGGCCTCATGTAAATATCTTCAGAGCTCTAGCGTGTTGGTCTTAAAGCCCTATCATTCTCAGCTTCCGAGGTACCTGATCTACCCTACTCCCCAGCACCACGAGTGTCAAGTGCTGCCGTTTATGACTCCCAAGTCATCTCTCCAGCATTTCTCCCAAGTCATTTCTCCAGCATTTCCCTCGCAGCATCCGGACTCAAGCAGACGCCATCAGTGCATGTGACATGCTGCGCGCTGCAGGCCCCAGGAAGGTATGCGAGGCTACAGGGGAGGAAGAACAGTGGGTAGGTAGGTGAGTGGTGCAGCAGAGCAGGTGAGTGGTGCAGCAGAGCAGGTGAGTGGTGCGGCAGAGCAGGTGAGTGGTGCAGCAGAGCAGGTGAGTGGTGCGGCAGAGCAGGTGAGTGGTGCAGCAGAGCAGGTGAGTGGTGCAGCAGAGCAGGTGAGTGGTGCAGCAGAGCAGGTGAGTGGTGCAGCAGAGCAGGTGAGTGGTGCAGCAGAGCAGGTGAGTGGTGCAGCAGAGCAGGTGAGTGGTGCAGCAGAGCAGGTGAGTGGTGCAGCAGAGCAGGTGAGTGGTGCAGCAGAGCAGGTGAGTGGTGCAGCAGAGCAGGTGAGTGGTGCAGCAGAGCAGGTGAGTGGTGCAGCAGAGCAGGTGAGTGGTGCAGCAGAGCAGGTGAGTGGTGCAGCAGAGCAGGTGAGTGGTGCAGCAGAGCAGGTGAGTGGTGCAGCAGAGCAGGTGAGTGGTGCAGCAGAGCAGGTGAGTGGTGCAGCAGAGCAGGTGAGTGGTGCAGCAGAGCAGGTGAGTAGTGCAGCAGAGCAGGTGAGTGGTGCAGCAGAGCAGGTGAGTGGTGCAGCAGAGCAGGGCACGGGGTGTGTAGGTGCTGGACTCGCTGCTGATAGCCTTGTGCTGGTGGTGGGGCGTGACGCCAGTAGCCCTGCTGTAGAGCAGATGGGTGAGGTGACAGGGCAATGGGCGTGCCAGTGTAGTGGTCGAGGTGTGCTTTGAGTCGAATCACTCGCATGTGGTTGGATATGCTGCTGCTGCTGATGCTGGTGCTGGTGCTGGTGGTGGGGAGTGACGCCAGCAGCCGTGCAGCAGGGGAAGTGAGTGAGGTTACAGGTCATGAGGGTGTTGGTCTGGTGTTGAGGTGTGGTCTGAGATGACTCCTGAACATGCTGCTTGTGCTGCTGGTGGGTAGTGATGCCAGTAGCCCTGCTGCAGAGGAGGTGTGTGAGAGGGCATGGGGGTGTTGGTCTAGTGCTTGATTTGATGTGTGGTGTGAGGATGGGGCAGGTTTCACACAACAGGTCGGCGCATGAGGCATGCCGTGTCGGTGAGTATTAGAAGGTCAGCAATGGGCCCTTGTTTTGACCTTGGAAAGCAGGTCTCATCACTTCACCCCCCTGCCCTTGTCACTTCACCCGCCTGCCCTTGTCACTTCACCCGCCTGCCCTTGTCACTTCACCCGCCTGCCCTTGTCACTTCACCCCCCTGTGCTGGTCACTTATCCTGCCTACCTGCAGTGAACTTGTGCCACTTTTCTTCTTTGTCCCCCTCTTTCATTCAATTCTCACTCTCCCTTCAATTTCTGTCACTCGTTATCCCCTACGTTTGCACCTGCCCTGCCCACCCCTACATACACCACCCCTTACATACACTGCCCTGGCTCCCACTCTGGTCAACATCTTGACATACGTATTTCAGGAGGAGGGCCCCGGACCACCTGGATCATCTGGATCACATTCCTTGCAACGCTTCTGCTTTGCAGTGCCCAAGATATCCGAGTACTTCACTGTATGGCACTCCTTCTCACACTCTCCTTCTCACACCCTCCTTCTCTCACTCTCCTTCTCACACTCTCCTTCAGTGTGCAAATCAAAACAAGCAGCGCATATCGTCTCTCTCATCCCCCCTTGCTCTCCCTTCTGCCCTCCTCTCCCTTCCCCCCTTACTCCCCTCCACCTCCCTCAGGCGGCAAGGCGACAACATGAGCGTAATCGGAAGGGTGATGGCAGAAAGCTTGTTTGTGATTGATTAATAAGCAGAGATGGGGTACAAGAGAGGGGGAAACCCCCCTAAAATCCTGAAAAAACCCCCCCACAGCCCCCCCAAGGCCCCCCTAAGGCCCCCCTACCCCCCAATTCTCCTCACAGCCCCTCACAGCCCCCCTCGAACCGCCCTGGAAATCCCTGGGCATGGCCCATGCATATCTGCTCCCTGTCATATCACATTCCTGCTTCTGCTTCTTCTTTGTGCTTCCTATCTATCATATCCCTCCCGGGCATGGCATGGCATGGCATGATATGGCCAACCAGGGAGGGGCGCACAGCACAGAGAGCCAGGAGCTCATCCACCACTCCCTCTTCTGTTCTGCTTCTGCTCCCCACTCCCCTCCCTTTTCCCTCACCCCTCCCCGCTTTCTCTGCCCGCCTGCGTATATAATAACAAGCACATACATTCACATTCGCTAGGTCATCAAATCTATAAGTCATCTATCACTCTACGCGTCGTAGCAAATAGCCTCATGTTGTCGACAGGAGAAAATGGCACATGCGCTCCCTCCTTGTGCATCTGTTTCTCTCTCTTCTTCTCCCTCATGTCCCGCCCTGCGCATGGCTGAACACAAGCAGGTGGCAACACATCTACTCCCTGTTTCCGTTTCTGCCACTCTTTGATATCCCAAACCTGGCCCAAACCAAACCTGCACTTCCCCCCCCCCCCCCCCCCCCTCCCCCTGCATGTATAACAACAGGCACATACATTTATGTTCTTAACGTGATCAGATTCATCCCTCCTACCACTCTGCACATCGCAAGCCAAGTGTCTTCATCTTGGCGATAGGAGGGAAGCTGGCACCTGCGCAAGGGGAGGGGGGGAGTTGGGGTGGGGGAGAGGGGGAGCGGAGCAAGTGAGCGGGGGGAGCAGACCAAGTGAGGGGATGGCAGGAGGTGTGAGGGCATGGTGGGATGGCAGGTGTGTGGGATATGGCAAGGTGTGCAGTGCATGCTCTGAGGCGACTCACAACGCACATGCGGCTGAATTGGTGGGGCATGCAGCATGGCATGGCGCTGCGCTCCTCCCTGCTTCTGTTTCTCTCCCTTGTCCTCTCTCATGTCCCGCGCATGGATGATCAGGGACGGGCACACAAGCAGCTGGCAACGCATCTGCTCCCTGTGCAAAGTATCTTCATCTTGGCGACAGGAGAAACTGGCACCTGCGCAAGGGGAGGGGAGGAGTCGGGGTGGGGGAGCAGAGCAAGTGAGCGGGGGGAGCAGGGCAAGTGAGCGGGGGGAGCACCCTAAACCCCCTTACCCCCTTACCTGGCAGGAAATGAAATTCACCATGCAAGGAATGCAAATCCACCTGCCAGGGCATCAACAGGCACCATGCAGGGCATGAGAAGGCACCGTGCAACATGCGAAGGCACCTTGCAGGGCATGAGAAGGCACCTGGCAGAAGGGGGAAAGTGGGGAAAGAGGGGAGGGGGTGGGTGAGACAAGCTCAAATGGGCAGGCGCTGCAGTGGCAGCTGGCAGAAAGGGGAGGGGAGAGGGTGGCTTGGACGTCTCACAGTTCCCCATGCCCCCTTACACCCCCCCCTTGAGAAAGAATGCACACAGGAACAACAAACAAGCAAGCAAAACAAACTGAAACAAACAAACAAACAAACAAACAAACAGGAAATATTGGGATGGAAAGAGGGGACGGGGTGAGTGAGACCTCTTCAATCAACATGCGCTACACTGGCACCTGCTGGAAACGGGAGGACAGAGGGGAGGTG